GCGCAGGCTGCCCAGAGAAGCTGTGGCAGCCCCCTCCCTCAAAGTGTTCAGCGCCCACCTGGCCTAGTGGGAGGTGTCCCTGCCCATGGCAGGGAGGTTAGAACTAGATGTTCTGTAAGGTCCCTTCCAACGCAAACCATTTTATGACCTGCAACCTGTGGGTACCAGAATTCATTTAATTATTCTGTAGATTAATGTATACATTTCAATCAGGAGGCATGAAAGCTGTCCAACTTGGGAATCAAAGCACAGATTTAATGATACTCTGTGCTTGTATTTTGAGGCCTTTGATTTGTATTAGAGGATAGCAAAGGGAAAAATAGCTCCAGATAGGGTAAATAGCTGTGAAAATTGTCAGCGTTTTGGTCAGGACTCATGATCTCTTGAGCATGGGTAGACAGTGTTATCTCCACTGATTTACTGGAAAGATTCAGTAAGGAGTTTGAAAAGAACATAATTGGAAAGGTTCAGATCACTTCAGCATTGACAGTTTGTTGATTTTTTGGGTGTTTTTTTTTCACACACCACTCCCTCTTCCACCCAGAGGGGCAGCTGGCTTACGTTTGAAGGTTTTTTAAATAAATCCTTAGATTACTTTCTATGTGAAGTAACCTTTTCTTTTTACTATTTTAAAAAGAGCCTATATAGCAATTTTCATCATAGAATGTGGGGATTTTTTCAGTTCTTTTCCCATTGATGATTGATTGATAGACTTAAATCTAGATTTTCTCTAATCCTGAAGTTTATCCTGTGTTTGTGTGAAAAATTCTTACAGTTAGTCTAGATGCTGGTGATTTTTTTGGCAGTTTTAAATCTCTCATGTTGAAGAGAGTATACTTTGTTTCCTCCCAATGACTCTCTAGTCTTTTGTGGTAAACAGTGAGACTTATGCTTTTGAATATGTAAGTATGCCAGAAATTGCCAGTTGACTTGGTTTGGTCTGTAGTTCTCACTTCTAGCTGAAAAGAGCTTCTGGAAAAGAAGTCCTTCAAGTGAAGGTAGGATAAGGGATTTCCAGAAATGTGCATTTTTTTTTTTCCTACTTTATGAAGTCATAGATACTCTTCAGGATGCTAAAGGGTAATTCTGACTACCCCTATGCAACTGTCATGAGATTATGGATGAACACAGATGTTTTTTCTGTCTATTTTACACATTCAGTTCTCACTAAGCAGAGATCTGTAGTATTTGTAAGGCAGTTGTTTGATCTCCTGTTTCTCAGCTTCACCATGAATTTATACCTACAGCTTTAATTACATGTATAAGGTAGGGGTAGAGGGGGTGGAAGATCCCAAAACCTGCCAGAAAGTTTGTGAGCATTCTTGAAGCATGCATCAGAGGCCATGTGACCCAACAGTGTGCATCTTGGTAGGATACAACCTTCAGAGAATTGCAGCTACAGGTGAGCAAAGTAGTTTCCTGTACTATTTGTAGCTCATTAGATGTAGAGATCACTAAGTGCTGCATAATGTCACGATAGTTCTGTTTCTGCCCATGCCTAGATATTAAGCACCGTCGACTGCCTATCCTCTTCTTTGCTAACAAGATGGACCTCAGGGATGCAATATCATCTGTGAAAGTATCTCAGTTACTGTCGTTAGAAAACATCAAAGACAAGCCCTGGCATATCTGGTAAATTTCCCTTTTTCTACCTTTTTATAGGTAATACTTTGCACATTCATATTTTAGCTCTACCATGCCTCTCGGTGTTATATAACATGACTTAAATCAACCAGATAAAATGTTGTGCTGCCGCATGAGGAAACAGTAAGAATTTTACAATACTTGCTATGAAACTTGTTGTAAACACACAATGAGTTTATGTAGTCTTAAATTTTCTCCACAGCAGAATAATAAAATGCGAGACTTCTAGTGAAATCAGAGTGCAATGTTCTTATCAGAAGAATAGCTGCTATTATTTTTTGCTGGAAAATTGAGTAGAATTGTTATCAGAGTGCTGCTGCTAGTTTGTCTTGCCAGTTTCAGACTATCAATAGTAAAACATTTAGAGTTGGTTTTTTCCACTCTGCAGATGCTTTAGTAAGCTACTGTTGAAAGGCTATTTAGTAAACTGTTCAATATGAATTCAGAGGGCCACCATACTCTTTGCACTTGTAGGAGCTAGTGTCTTTTCTTTCTGAAGGATGTAAGCTTTCATATAAATAAAGGGATTTTTTTCTACTGTTCACAAGGAAAAAACCTCTCATTTTGTCGGAACAATTTTACAGAAGTTAGATGTTGTCTTATTAAAGTCCCTACATACTGTAAATAAAAGTGAAATCAGCAGCTAAATGCTGCTGGAAACTACAGTTTTAATTTTAGGCCGTTTAATATTAAACTGGATTACCTGGGCATTGTTTTGGGATCGCTGCTTTTCTGTCTCAGAAATTACACCAATGAATTCCCAAGCTCCTTGGGAGAGAATTTTACAGCTAACCATTGTAGCAGTCCAGATTCACTGCTCTGCTCCGTTCCGTAAGTCAATAAATGACGGGCTTTTAAACAGTTGTCTTCCTGTGATTCAAAAACTAGATTTACACTGTTCTCAGTGTAGCTTAATATATAGTAACAGACATTCCTAGGGTTGCTGTTGCAATGATGTGTGCAGGCAGTGTGCTTTCTTCCTTCAGTACTCCAGCATTCTCACTGTGTATGGTAACTGTGTGGCAACGTGGTTGGACTCAGTGATGTTAAAGGTCTCTTCCAACCTAAATGATTCGATGATTCACTGCTGATGTTGTACATAGTAAACATCTTCTGTAGCCTAGTCTGAGGAGGGAGTTAGCTAAGTGCTGGTACAGCAGAACAATGTGGCTGACTTGTGTGAGAGCTCTTCCAGAATCCTTCATGTTCTAGTGACAATTCCTCTGCCTTGAAACTGGAATTAAAATAGATCACATCTTGAAATGATGTTTCCCTGCTGAGAAGGTACTCTAGATTATAACATTTGAGAAGCAGCCTTCCCTATGTGAAGAAAAGTAAACTGTATTTAATGCTATTTTGCAATTCTGTAAATTACAGGTGTAGTGATGACTCCACTAAAACTGGTATTTTTACAATGTTTTCATAAATTAAATTGTTTCTTTCAGTGCTAGTGATGCTCTTAAAGGAGAAGGATTACAAGAAGGTGTGGATTGGCTCCAAGGTATATCATATGTAATTCTCTTGCTCTGTTTTCATTCTGTTAAGCTTTTTTTCATTTTGTGAGGTTTTTTCTTTATTATTTCCTTTGTTTTCTCTCTGTCCACTTCTGCTGTCAGATCAAATTACACAGTGAGTACTGATGCTCTGTTTTACATTTGCCTTTTATCTATTCAACATACACAAAAGATCATGTCAGTTTCTTTGACAAGTGTACTATGAAATATTAATGCATACTCTTGCAAACAATGTAACACTTTCCTGTAAACAACAATAATACCAGCTCCTGCACTTCAATTTATTATTGTGTTGGTTCAGTTTGTTCTTTAATTTTTCCTGTCCGAGTTTTGCATAACTTAATGTTATGTATCAGGAAATCGTGAATAATCAGCCTAGAAAATTAAGCAAAGTGCACAAATACACTAGTTTTGATTATTCAACTTGAATTCTTTAATCCAGAGCCAAAATAAGAACAGCTCACATTATAACAATCACAGCCTATGAAGACACTCATAATTACATTAAATATATCAGATACAGCTTAGATGACATTTTTAATTACAAACTTGGCATGGATGCTGTATTATCCTTCTGTTGTATGTTGGTAAGGATCTGATCTGTTGTCCTCCCGTGTACTGCTAAATGTCTAGAATAGTGACGTGTGGTATTGTTTTGGCAGACTCATTCTAATCTTAGCTGCTGAGCTTCTGTTGCTTACATTGTGGGTGTTTTAGGCAGCCGAGTGTATCATCTGAATCTGCAAGACCGTTTCTGTATACTGGCGTGTCCTGCGCCGTGGTAGCCAGTAGATGTCAGCGGTGTTCCAGAATCCGTGCTACAAAACTAATTTCCTTCAAAATGCAGCTAAACGATAGCCAACATTATCCCTAATTTAACATACCTTCATTTATCTATGAATACCAGACTGCCCTTTCTGCTTAGACTACTTACTGGTAATTACAAAGAGTCGTATTCTGTAACAGCATAGTAAAATAAGCTAAAAACATTTGGTCATGGTTTTAGAGGAAGGGGTACTAGCCAAAAGTAGTCTTTAGGAAGAGATTTACTGCCTCAGAGAAGAACAGTGATGTCTCCTCCGCTGAGTTCTGTGGTGGGGAACCAGCATCCTACTGCTGAGTTTCATCACTGCTATATCCTGTTATCATAGAGGCAGATTCCAAATCACATACCTTATCCTAATTTCAGGCATAGTTCTGATCTTATATTTTCCTGTGATTTGCAGGGTCTCTGCTGATCTTTGAGGAATTTTCCAAGTTTCAATCCAAGTTTCAAGTTGATGGTTTTGTACATAGCTCTAAGCTACTTAAAAGAGTCTGAAATGCTTGCCTAAATATTTTCTGACAAAATATTTAAGTTGTGCATGTAGATTTTAAGCATAGTAAGTGGGTGCTTCTCCTGTCACTCACATAGTTCTTCATAGCTATTCACTTCTTATGGACTGTTAAACTTCTTAATTTTCTGAGCTGAAATACCTCGTGGATCAGCATTATCAAAAAATTTCCTTCAAGTCTCAGGCTCAGTGTCCCCAAAAGCTCAAGAGGGGTTGGATTTAAACTGTATTGTTGCCAAAGCGCGTGTGTTTTGGCAGTTATAGTTTTAATGAATGAAGACTTTGATATTTCAAGAAAAAAGTTTTAATGAGATTCTACTCCTCATTCCTAGAGCACTGGATGGAAATATTTGGACCAACTCTCTCAAGTTATAGTGATCCCTAAATCATAGCCATTATGGGTGCCATAAAACTCAGCGGAGCAAATGACACCTGATTAATGAATGCAGTTCTTGGCAACAGCCATGTCTTCCTTAGTTTCTGCAGACCCATTACAGATAGTTCACAGGTTTAGGGTGGCAGGGGCAGAAGGTTTTGCCTTTTTTTCCCTAGTGATGGCTGAGTTTGCATCTTTCCTTATTTTATAATGGGGCTAGTATTGCAATAACACATCATCAGTAGGGTGAAAAACTAAGCTGTCTCATAAAGGTCTGAACCCAGCTTACATTCCATATCAGCTGGGGAAATTGTACCGATTTCCACGGGTTATAATGGGGCTGCAGCATATATGTGCTGACTAAGGAAATGTTTGAAGTGCATTGAGAAGAGGCAGTCAGGCAGCAGTAGAGAAAAGTGTGGCTACTGGGAGCAAACAAGTTTTTATGTGGCTTACTCAAAAAGAAACTTTAAATCCTTTGCTGTTGGCGAGTTAAGTGTACAGCTCAAATATGTACAAGGAGTTGAAACATGTTCTTCGTAGAGTGATATTCCAGTCTTTATTCATATCAAAGTTACCGTTAGCCCAAAAAAGATAAAAAATTGATTATGTGGAAGAATTTTCCTGTTTAATTAGCAACATTTGGGGGAAGCAAGTTGGCTGTGGAGGAATTTCAGAAGTGGATGAGAGAGCAAGTTGGAAACAACTCTTAACTGCATTGTACCCCGTTCTTGTAACCACACCAAAATACCTATTGGTGTAGTTCTGTAGCCTAGACAATAATGGGTGATGTTTTCAAAAAGCAAAATAGAGCAAGAATTCATCTTGTGTTAAGACTAGCTGTTTCTTTTTATTAACAGATCAGATCCAAGCAATGAAGACATGAGAGATAAATAGAAGATGTATGGCGTTCTGTTACAAACTTTGTCAGTAGTTGTACAAGTTCCTTGGAAGGGAAGAATGATTTAAAGAAAATGAACAGTTCAGCTAAAATGTACTGTGTTGATTTGTTTCCTTTTAGTATCACTTCCAGGAAAACTGGATGTAGATAACATAGCACCTCAAGTATGCAAACCGATGAATCGTGACGGGAGAGCATTTTTAAAGAAAAAGATTTGTGTTAACAATAAGCATCTGCATTTATTTGAGTTCTACCTGATTATTAGCCATCAGGAAATGTCCCTCTTTTTTTGTGGGGACACCTTGTGACCAAATGAAAGTATTTTCCTGAGAAAGACTAATCGGCACTTCTTGAAATACACCTGCATGAGATACCCACTGATTTTTAGGTACACATTTTTAGGTATTTCTGCAAGTTTTTTATTGTAAATTTTGGAGTTTAGTAACCATCTACAATAGGCTTCTAGAGGAATATTTTTTAATTTAAGATACAAGGATTCAAATATTTGACGTATGTGTCATAGATGTTTGTAAGTAACTGCTTTTAATGAAATGTTATTAATTGATTTTGTTGTATACTGTGATTGTATTTGCATTCCCATCAATAAAATTTCAAATATATGATACTCCACGGTTTGTTTTTTTAACTTAAATATGTTCGTTGATGGTCTTTAAAGGTAGAGATTTGGGGGTTTCTGTTAGTTTCATTTGGAATTTTTTTGTCCATTTTCTGATGGAAATAGCACTATATACCGTAATAAAACGGTGTTGCTTTTGCCAAGTTGGGTTTTTTTAATTGTGTATATTTTTCACACTTTCTAATAAACTAGTCTGCTCTTCCAGATGTGTAGTATTTGAAGTTACACTTTTGGAAACACAGTTAAGGAACAGTTTCCTAGGTCATTTATATGAAATGCGTCATATACTTCTATTGTGTATAACAAATATGAAGAATACTTCTTAATAAACCTTCTGACTTTGAAGAGGTACTATAGGTAACAAATCAAGCCAATGCTAAGAACTTCATTTTTCTCATGCCACATCTTTCCCTTTAATCCCTCTTCCCTTGTCTAAGAATCAAGCAGACTGGGCACTGGGAGTGCTGGAGATTATGTTTAACTGAGTGATGACCTGATTCCTGTGGGAGATCTAATATGTAGGTCCTGCAAAAGCTCCTCCCTCCCATTTACTAGCATATAAAACACACGTGTTCTGTAAGCATGTCTTCTAGACCTTGCTTAACAGGAATATTTGAAGCAAAGGGACCTGCCTGAAATCGTAGAACAGTTTTGTATACTCTCAGTTATTAAACGGTTAAAATTAACTCCCTTGCTTTGTGCTTTGCTAGAGGGAACTAAGTCTTACTGTAAAAAAAATAAATTTGACAGTTCAGTTTGCTATGGAAGTATTTAACTTTCATGTCTTTTTCTGCGACACCTTGGGCCTTCTGTCAACTCTGAATCTAAATATATAAAATCAAATACAGAAGAAGAAATCATATACAATTCTGAGATGGTTTTCTAACTCGGAATTGTGGGGCAGATAATTTTCTGGTTTACTTCGCGTTGAGTAATATGGTAACAAAAATAGTACTTGTTGGAAACATCTTTTGCTGTGTAAGAGTATTTTGTAATTATTCTGTTTCACTTACGGCTTATTTAAATGAGACAAATTTAAGTTTGCTTTTTTTTTTCCTAAAAAAGACAAGTTATTGCATAAAATCTGCCTACATTTCTGACTTTCTTGAATAATCTGGACTTTGATGGCTTTCTGATTATTTTAGTCTGTTTATGTTGGACTATGCCAAGTGCTATGTTTATGTTATGGATTGCCTCTACTATCATGGGAAGCTGCTTGAACATACTGCTTTGTTCTTCCACCTACAAATCTGAGAGAAGTATGCTGTTGTCTTTTACTTTTTGCTTCCTGATTTAGTTAGTAAGCCCTTTTTGAAAACAGTTATGTTGTTTGTTGTTCCCCTTTTTGCTGTTGGTTGGGTTTTGTTTGGTTTTGATTTTGTTATTTTCTTCAGTAGCTCTTTCTATTCCTCTTCTACTGGGACACTGGGCTGGATGGAGACCTGTTGGAAGGAGTGGGAATGGGGACAGTCCCATTAGTGCAGCACATGATTTTTATTTTGTTTTTTTTTCACATTACTGCTTCAGCCATGAATTGTCTCTCACTTCTAGAATATCTGTGATTGTTCCATGAACATAAAACTACCAGAGGGCTGCCTGCATGTTCATATCTCCTCCTCCCACGATGTACAAGTATAGGTCCCTACCACACACAGCCACTACAGCCTTGACTTGCTCTGATAACGTTGAATTTGGTACAATGATCATGCATTGCACAAAGACTGCAGGAAACTGCAGAAACAACTCTTTGGAGTTGTTTTCTGAAGGCCCAGTGCTTGTCAGTCCTCAATGCTGTTCTCCCATTACATTTAGGATGTTAAATTAGAGTAATGAGTTCTACCTGGATGCTTCAGGACAGTTTGCACGTATGAGTTCATTACACCTTAACAGCAAAGCAGAACAAGTTCCTTTGGAGGTTTAAGAGACTTGAAGAATATTTCCCTTTATTTTTTTTTGCTCCACTTTTCTGTAGGTGTATGCATTAAATAGAAACTTGAAAGGCAGTAGTGTGACTGAAAGAGGCTCTGAGACAGTTTGGTCTTTACACTCCACGCAATGTTATGTGCTCCTGCTGCTGTGCACCAAGCACGCTGCCTTCCTACATATTTATGAGTTCCCTTAAATTGTTAAGACTAGCATTTTCAGCTGAAACGTGAGGCAGTCATTCTCACATACACAGTGTTGCTTTCTACATCTCTCCTTTACCAAGTGGGGGGTACCACGCAAACATGTGAACCCTAATTCTTTCTAGCCTTGGTACTCAGGACATGAGCCCATGAGAACTTCCTATGTTTAACCTGGACCTACTTGCAGGCATCCTGAGAGTCTGCATGGCCTGAAGACTCCTGGGCAATTTTCTGTTAATCAAGTGCGGTTCCGAGTGTTAGGATGCAAATGTAATAGATCCTTCTTTTAATCTCATCCTTCTAATTATAATACTCAGGGGGGGTTTATTTAGTAGTAAGAAAAATAAGCTGCTGTGAAAGGCTAGACATAACAGCTCAGCTGTACTGCTTAGTTGGCTACAGGAAGGCGTTCTGATGTGGTAATACGTGGAATGGTAGTGTTGCATTTTGGTGCTTCCTTAAAACAGCTGTGCAACCCTCTGCCTCAGAAAGCAGTTCATGTCTTAGAAGCTCTAACCAGGCTACAACATTTTGCTCGTAATAAGAACTAAAATTAATAGTTGATTCAAAATACTTGCCCTTAAAAGCAAACATTTCTTATGCTGAGGAATTCTGTTTAATATTAAAAAATGTACATTGTTGTTGTTGTTTACTTGTTTAGGAAGTTACTCTCCTTGTGATTAATTTCTGACATCTATTTATATAGTTTGTTTTGGCTTTTCTTATTTCTGTTTCACAGAAATCCTTACAAATCTTGCTCTTAAATTTTCTGGTCTACTCCTAATTTTTGCTGAGTACCCTGCTACTGAAGCTTTAAAGCTCTCTTTCCTGTTCTTTTGGTTTGTTTTTTGGTTTTTTTTTTGAAAAAACAAAATAGATAATGAGAGCAGGTCACAGAATACTGGAATTAAAAATAAAAAATAAAAAATAGAGCTACTTCAACTTTTCAAGGGAAAAGTCTTCAACTCTCCTCTTTCAGAAAAGTCAGGAAAGTTTGCTTTGAAAGGTTAACTTGATATGCCCTGATCTTTTTTTTTATTATTGCACAGCCCATATTGACTGCTTAAATTGTAAAAAGTGTTGTTAGTATGCAAAAGTAATATTATGTGTCTTAGCTAATCGGAATTCAGAACTTACAAGGCTGTCATATAACAAATGCCAAGCGTTTTTAGTAATACTCTGTAATCATACTTTAGTTCTGAGGCTCTGTAGCTCCTGTCACAGTAAGTTATATCATGGAAGCATCTGTGTTGGTGTGAACCGGCACTTTATAATTAATTTATCAGTGTTCAGTCAGTTGGATTGCTACCTAATTGGCTGAGTATTTCTAGCCATATGAGGTTCTTGTGTGTGTGGTAACACACTGTTCTCTTTAGTGGATAGCAGGATCTTGGCATGCAAATCAGCTGTGTTTGCTTTTTCCACTTTTCTAATGATAGCATGAAACCCCCTCCCACTACCCTTTTTCAAAGTCAATCTGTAAAATGAAATCTAGGCTGTTAATGTCTCTTGCCTACCATTAAATGATCTTATGTTTTACAAATTGTTATCAGAAGATGAACTTAATTGCATTACAGTCATAGTACTTGGGCACCAACTCACAAGCGAGTGTAATTCCTCTATGGTTCGGGGGCATCTTTGAAGACCAGGTTAACTTGTTTAGTAATGGAAGTGTAAACTTCATGTTAGGCAGTCTTTCTGAAAACAACTTTGTCTTCGGGGATCAGTAAGTAGATCGTAGAGCTAGAAAGATAGTTATTGGACCAAATTGGAGAAGATGTAAGAAATGTATGGAGATGATGTAAGAAATCAAGGAAACTGAGGTGTGTGGAAGAAATTCGTTTGTGCTGAAGTAGAGTCATGTTATTGCAGGAAGAAAGAAACCCAAGCCTCTTGAGGCTCAATGCATTAACCATGATAAGTGACTGAAGTGGATGCTTGGCAATACAGGCTCCCTACTAAGTGGGAAAGCGTTATTCTGGTTCGAGGTGCCTAGAACCTATGGATAATTGTCTGGGGTTTAAGTCTCTGCTGAGGTTTACATTAAGAGCAAGTTAATGCTGTAAAAAAATTTTGGCAGCAGTTTCAAAGCAGGCTGAATTGATCTATAATCCAATCTAGTGTTTAGAAAGTATTGCTGCATATTGCAATTAAGTTTGAGCCTTACTATTTCTTTAACTGATACCATTATAAAATAAGAACAATAAATTTTCTCATGAAAAACAATTGCAGAACAGCTACTGCGTAAGTCTGCCAGCGCTGACTTACCAATATTAGGGTATGTACAGACCTTTTGTGTTGTAGAATTACAGGTTCTAGAAATTAAAAGATGCATACCCAAAATCAGCTAGTTTAGGTTGTAGGAATATTTTTGAGTACAACGTTTCTTTTTCATCCATTTCATAGCTGTTAAAGCACTACTTTGTTCTCTGTCT